TGCATTCTTATTAAAAATATTTTGTATTGTCTTGCGTTTTAGCTGTTAAAATCCCCTGGCAAAGACTGTCCACGTTTTCGTTCTTTGATGACAGAAACTTTTGAGAGCGTGCCTTACCAGAGGTTCCTCAGGGCTCACCAGGTACAACACTCCATCATGCATCAGCTCCAAAAATACTCCTGCTTTAACACTGCTGTGATGTCAGGTCCCCTGTAACAATATGTCAAATTAACTCTTCAGGGTGATTCCAAGCCAACTAAATTAAAGGTCTTGTATTACACAGAACTGACTGGGTTTTAAGTCATGTTATAATGCTGTTACCTCAGACCTGGAATTGTTTTGTTTTATTCACACATGTTTGAGTAATCCTTTAACAACTACATTTTACTTTTTGTTCAGTAGAAATGATTCTAATGAAGGTGGAGTATGGAGTTTAAAAACACAGTGGAGCACATCCTGTATTAGCACATGACATCATAAGGTGGAACAGAGTGTTTTCTCTTTGGGAGAAGAACTCAGCCTAAATATGCAGAATTTGTGTGTTAAACATGCGTGAATGAAACTAAACACAACTCCAAGTGTGTTGTGATGTATGTGATGAGGAAAAACATTATAACATAGAACAGAAAATAGAGTATTATGAGCACTTTAAATGAACTAATGCTGAGAAAAAGAAATCTTCATTACATACTGTAGTTCATAGCTGATGGCGGTGATATAACCAGCACCTCCACTGGATGTGTGCTTTATGTCAGACACGGTGTCCTAGCATTTTTCTCAGTCACGGTAACTCCTGGTGCCTTGGAAAAAATCTACTGTGCTACTTCTCACACACACTAATTAACGGTCGGATAGAATAAGATTAAGAATTACAGCAGAAAAAAGCTTTTAATTAAACTTGGTCCCATATGCGGCCTGTTACAGTGCGAAAGGTTGGAGTTCCTGTGTTGAATTTTAACACCCTCTGCTGGCTACCTGATATTCCCATGCAAGAGTTGACAATGAGACATTTTTCTCTCAATGGGGTTACATGTCACGTACTAGTCGTTTAGTACTAGTACATGACATGACTGTATGACTGTTCATTTGGTGTTCTTACCTTGCAGTATTTTGTGGAGAGGCTGTCCAATCACACCGGGTATCCTGTGTCCAAACTAGTGGGCAAGAAAATATGGAGAGTATATGACACACTCAACTGTCAGGTAAAGTATATTCAGCAAACTTACTAATATTTACTACTTATTACACTGGTGTGGAATTGACTATAGTCCCTATAGCACTATCTCGCAATAGTTGAGTTTTGTCTTATTGTTCAGGAAAAATAGCCAAATCTGTAAAATAAACCATGTTAAAATTAGGAAGAAGGCAAATGTATACTTGGAGTGTCCGCCACCTGCTTGTCTCCATGGATATGTAAATGTTTTGACTATGTTCCACGGTATGACTTTAAACATATCTATTGTGGCCCAGTTGCATCACCACCTTAACAATAGGTTCAATTAACTTTAAACAGTGAAGTATTACAGGCAAAGTGGAGACAAGCAGGTAGCATACCCTCATCTTGAAAAGTTACATAGTTAGGTCTGTCGTGATAATTACAATATCGACTTCATTCAATATATCCTCCTGGGACCCGAAGAAAAAAATGTATTGCATTATTTTTTTGTGATATTCTATCTATTTGGAGGTAAATGAACACCTTAGCATTTAGATGGTGTTAATTTTATTTTTATTTATAATTTTATAACATGCCCTCTGTAATGGATGCCGGGGACATTTTGCTGTTAAATCTATGCGAAGTTAACAACCTAACAAAAACAACTTTATTGATGAGCAACATCTCGGACAAGCTTCTACAGTCACCTCAAAAAGTTTCTAGACTCCCTTTAAATTTTTTTTCTTTCTTTTTTTTTTCTTTCTTTCTTTTTTTTTTTTTTTTTATCATAGTGCAGCCAAAAACTAACTCCAGCTGAGTTATTATTTATCCTGGGCATGATAGTACCCTATAATCCCCTAACCTTATTTACGCAGAGGAATCTAGTCCCCCGATTAAGAGTCTGTCTCAAAACACTTAAAAGATAGACTGGTTAAATTAATGTCCAATATAAAGGACACAAATGAATGGTCTGGGTCCCAGGAAAATATGACTTTTTCTTTGTAATACTGAGAAATTTTGTTATTTTTGAAGTAACAGGAAAAGATTCGAGCAGATGAGGGTTGAAAAAAATAACTACTATGGCTAAGTACTGCTTCAAATTATGCTATTTATTTGTTAATCAATGTTCCTTTTAATATTTAAGTATTTATTTACTGGGATAATCGTGTTTTTTTTGTGTCAGAGCATAAAGTAGTCCAATATTATCATTTATCAGTATATCTCTGTAGCAATATATCGTGCTTCAGAATGTGTTAACGTGACAGTCCTGTTTAGTGCAGCTTTTTTAGTTCTTTTTCTTTTCTTTCAACGAATACAACAAACATCTGCATCTGTACCCTACACATGTTACCCAAGAAGTCAACTGTAGCCTATATTACACAACAACAAATGACCATCTGTTATACAAGAACTATAAATAGACGAAATGCAATACAACCCCCTTTGTTGGCCTTCATGCTGTCTGATGCAGTAATTCACTTCTTAATCCATTGCAGAGGATCCATAATTTGACCCTTCCTCGCTGGGTGACCCGGGATGTCCTGGACACCCTGAAAAAGATCGCTTCGTTTGAGGTCATGTACAGCATCCTGAGTCACAAGAGGAAAGAGAAGGCGCGTCTGTCGGGAGGTGGGCCTGTATACTGCATATGAGCACGTTTCCCATGTTTGGACAGTGGTTTATTAGCGCGCCATTAGCTGTGCAATTAAATGTGTGTTGTACTGTGCTTGTTTACCAGGAGTCTTGTTAAATGCCATCCTGAGAAATTTCTCCAAAGCCGTGGAGCAAGGAAGCACGCTCAAGTTCATTATGTACTCAGCTGTAAGTTTACTGTAGCGGTGGCAATTTGCACCCAGCTGTTTACTTATAGCATATGTAGAGATTTTACAGGGATACAAATGAGATTCTTACAATTACCCTTATATACCCTGGCAATGTATGTTTTACTGTCATTGTTTTATTTTGTAGGTCAGACACTATTAAAGTTGGTGTATAAACCCATTTACACCTGTGTTTACCAAAGCCATAGGTGCAATACATCATTTAGCAGTGTGGTTTAGTTGTAGGAGTTCGATAAAAGGAGGCCCATAAGCAGGCCTGGAAACTAGCAGTGGTTTGGGACAGAAAAAGTATAATTGTATAATTAGATGGAGCTTACCTGTCCTGACTCAGATGACAACTGCAGTCTTTTACAGCTCTGTCCACCATCATTTCCTGACACATCTCCCCATTTTCTGACATGAAAGCGTCAAAGGAATTGTAAATTTGTATTATCCCATACAAATTCTATAACGATTATAAATATTTAGCAGTGAAATGTGGTTAAAGGAGCTCTTTGCCACGTTTGTGCTGAAGGGTGCCCTGTCTGCTTGTCTTAGTGGAGATGATAATGTATGTGCTTAGAATATTCTACAGTATGGCAATAAATGTATCTGTCAGATTGCATATTTGATGCCATGCTGCACATTCCAGGTAATTTAAAGCAATTTTTCAAATACATTTATATTTCACAATGTTACACGCATACACACATTTATGCAACTGTACACTGTACATTTAACGTATTAGTATACATATGTGTGACACTGTAAAAAACATGGACACCCTAGGAAGCTATGTAAACTTATAGAATGTGTCTAATGAAATCAATGAACATGTCCAAAGAGACAAGCAGCATAAGGCATGTTTAAAATAAAACAACAGAAAATGCAAACTAAAAATAATTATCCAAAAACCCTATTCTGGTAATTTAAAAAAAAACAAAAACAATCTTTAACAGGATTTTTGCCTCTCTTTTTGCATTATTTTCATCACACGCAATCCACATACATCTCCTACTCTGTATGTACTGTGCTCTAATATGTACTGTGTGAATGTGCTTAGCTGCATGTGACTTGTGTGTTGTTCTTTCCCTTCGCCAGCACGACTCTACACTCATCACCCTCCAGGCGGCTCTGGACGTCTACAACGGCCTGCTGCCTCCTTACGCCGCCTGTCAACTCTTTGAATTCTACCAGGAGTACGATGGGTAATGACTGCTCTCCAGCTCTTTCCCTTTGAATCTAGGTCAGACAATGCAAAAAAAGGAAACTCATTTTAACACATTGCATTCAACACCTCTGCAGCACCAGTTTTGTTTGTTTTTTTTCTTCTTTTCATTACACTGGCAGTGATCCAGGACCGTGATGACCAAATTAGCACACGATACAAAGCTATTTACACAGCGCTTAGCATAAATGTGTGTCATCTCATTGTGTTGACCCTGCTAATAATAATTCCCCAGATCTTATTCGTTGGAGCTGTATTACCGCAATGAGTCCTCACACCCGCCCTACCCCAATCCTGTCCCAGGCTGTAATGGACTCAACCCTTGCCCTCTGACGCTGTTTACCGATCTGGTGAGGGACGTGTTAGTGGACAACTGGGAGGCGGAGTGCGGATTTGCGATCAGATGGTCAAGTACAGGTCTGTAGATGTCATTGTTTAATTTCAGGGTATCACCACGAGAAGTTATTCACAATATGGCAATTGTTTAGATAAGCTGATGTTATCCTTGTGTCCCACAGGTGTTGTTACAACTCTCGCAGTGGCAGTGGGTATCCTGGCGGTGGCGCTCTTGTTCAGCATAGGAGTAATAATGCACAAAAGAAGGGCTCACTATTCCAGAGAGGTGTGATGTGGAACTAAATCAAACTTGTGGCATATATATGTTTATGTTATTTTCATTTGCATAATATTCGAAGTTGCCTTGTTTTGTTGTGATGCTAATTGATTGTTTCTGGTCATTTTAATAACATTGTGTGTGCATTAACACTTAAGTGATTAAAAATAAAAAGAATATTGATGGTAGCTTTACAGTATTTTATTTGGTAAGATGGATATTGTATACCCTATTGCAATATTTGCTGCTGTCTAGTTGGTTCATGATTTTGCTGATCTGCAGTTCCCTTTTCACTCCTTGGGTGCCTCTGTGAAAACTGTGAAAACACAATTAAGAAAACATTTTAAGACAATAAAAATAACTGAACCATTGAAATTGCTCTATGAATACTATATTTGTAAAAAATTTGTAAAACAGTTCTCACTTTTGACATCCAATTTACACTCCACCTCGTCCTGGCCCAGCTCGTTGATAGCTCTACACGAGTACATTCCTCCATCGAAAGTGCTCGGCTTGCGGATTTTGAGGGTCAGCACACCCTGGTTATTCTGCATCAGGTATTTGGGGTCCTCACCAATAATCATTTTGTTTTTCATCCAGATAATTTTAGGCTAAAAGTAAATCAGAGACAAACATGAAATGAAGTCTTACAGTTCATTTGCATGAGAGTATTTCTGTGTTTTATGCGGCTGCCTTTGACCTTTACAAAGAGCCACTGTGATTAGAGAAATGTCTGCCCACATCTGTCTCAGTAATATTCATCTGAACAACACGAGCATTCTCATTTTCACCCACTTTGACCATGCCTTACCTTGGGGAAGGCTCTGACGGCACAGCTGATGGCAGTGCTATACCCGGCCACCACGCATCTGTCCACCAGGGGCGTTGTGAACTTGGGCATGCAGGACATGTCCTTCTCCTTGTAGGAGGCAGACTTCAACTGAAGGCCTGCATAAAACACAGATTATTTCTTTCAACTTTAACATACAAAATTCATTCAGCAGCAAATGCTATCACCAAATTCAAGGACTATATGTTAAAGCCATAGTATGTAACTTGCCAAAAATTAAATAAAGGTTTGTTCTTTCATTGTGGATGTCTTTATTGCACTGAAACTGTAAAAAACATGGCTCTTACAAACATTTTCACAAACCTGACCGTTATCTGGCAGGGCCTCCTCCTGCTTGTTTCCATAGAAATGTTGTTCTTTTGGCTATAAAATTGCACAGTATGGCATAAAATGTGCCTATGGAGAATGTTCCGAAGTATGGTCTTAATTTTTTATTTTCATAGAAAGTTTCACACTATCACTTTAATATAGCAAAATTACTTCTGTTTTCCATCTGGCAGAACTGATATTAACAGTAGATAAATAATAAATAAGTAGTAGTAAATAATTACTCCTATACTAAAATACTAATGATTACCAATATTTTAAAATTGTAGTTTTGGTATACACATCAACACATTTTAAATGTAAAACCAATACACAAAGTGGTGTTAGTCAGTCACTTCCATTATGCAGCCCTAGTGTACATTATAACTGCCTGCAGCTCCATTGTCACAGACTGGGAGAAGCCCAAACATGTGTGTGTGTGTTCATGGCACCTGTCTTGGCGATGACAGCTGTTCTTGCTGACGCGTGCCTCCTCGCTCAGGCCGCACAGGTTCTCACTGAACACTCGGAACTGATACGTGTTTCCCATGATCAGGTCTGAGGCAGTGCAGTTTGGCCTCCTGTTGTGCTCGTAAACAGTGAACCACTCCTACCAAAACAAAGATTAGGCTTTTATGATACTGACAAATAAAATAATATTATACAATGTGATAAATGCAGAAAAACAACAAGATATTACTAGTTGTAAGCTACAACTTAGCAGTAAATATACTGCTCTTCTTGTTTAAAAGTTTACAGCTTACATTTGCATAAAAGAAATAAAACAAGTGCTTTTATTACAATTGCAAATAAAGTCTAAAAAAAGTTAACATTCAAATAAATCTGCAGGGAAACAAGCAATTATGCTGAACCTCAGGAGTCTCCAAGGCAACTATTTAAATTGTATTCATTTTTGGGGAAATTATAATCATATAATCAGATAATACATTATATATTGTGCTTTTTTACTGATATGAGAAAATCCATATTCATACCTTGGTTTTCTGGTCTGCTTTCTGGATGGTGTAGCCACTGATGTCACAGTTGCCATCGTCCGTAGGAGGGTCCCACTCCAGAGCAGCATTGAAGCCCCACACATCTGTCACCCTCACATTACGAGGAGGTCCAGGCTTCTCTGGATGAGTAGATCCACATCAGCACTAAGTTACTGCCGCTCCACTAATGCTCTCTATAATAAAATACAGCCTTGACCAGCTTACCCACTACCCGAATGTTGATGGTGGCCCTGTCCTCCAGGTTCTCAATCTGCAGCACCAGCTCGTATGTGCCGGAGTGTTCTCTCTCTGCGGCACGGATGAACAAGATGGTGTCCACGTTGGAATTACGGACATTGACCGTCTTGGGGTCAACGGGCTGACCATCCTTGTACCAGGTGGCGACCGGGCGTGGCTTACCCTGAAAAAAAAAACCCATTATACTTATGTTAATAATCTATGTCAAATATTTAAAATCAGAGTACATCTTATGAATACCATGAATAACTGTTGTCACACATGTATTATATGTTGATAAAAGTTATCATAAATGTTTATTTTAGGAGATATTGAATTATATCCATTTTCATTCAAGTGGAACTAAACACTAAATTAATTTTGTTACTAACTGTGTATATGGTGTTTTAATAGCATTCTCTGTTGTGTTTTGTTTTGTTTGGCCAATTTTAGATAAAAAATTTTATTTGTAGCTTTATGGTCAAAAGTAAAAAAACCTTGTGTCCTGACTCCAGTGGCCACTGCAATTTTAAGTGCTCGGTGACATCACGTAAGACTGCCCTGATTACAGTTAGTTACAGTTGCAAATACCTGTTAGACCAATCACACTGTTCCTCACACGTCCAGACCCCACCCCTCCTTCCCCCTCACTCTTCCCTTTAGTCCTCTAGGAACAGCCCAGTTTAGCAGCTCAGCAATCAAAGCATTTTTTTTACCTGGAAAGGGATGACCAAGTTGATTTTATCTCCTACTTTCCTGATGTACTTTGTTCTCAGTTCACGCGGAAGACGGATCTTCGGGTGTTCTAAGCAATAAAAAAACTCAACAGTTAGCACGAACAAAAACAGTATATTTTGTATGATATTGTTCTAAAGATGGTTTGTCTGACCCATGATCTCGCGGATGGTGACAGGCTGAGACAAGACTGCAGGGGGACTTCTGCCAGCAATGTTTACGGCCACCACCCTGAAGTTGATTTTCTCACCCACTGGGAGACCGCGCACCACATATCCTTGCCTTTCACAAAGTTCCTGGTTTGCCACCACCCACTCAGTATCTGAAATGAAAGATAAATAATGCAAGAATTAATGGCAAGTAGCTATTTGATCTTTCATCTTTTTATAATATTACAAGTGTTTAATATTTCACTAAACCTATTTATTATGCATTAGTATTGATATGAGTAATAGCGTTTGGATGAGTATTAGCATTGGTGCCATGTATTTAAAGCTGAACTATTTTGGGTACACTGTATCATGAATGTAAGAGAAGCTGTAATGTTTAATAATTACCTCCATCTTTGCAGTACTCAATAACATAGCCATCCAGGCCTCCAGCTCCAATCTTCTCAGGAGCGAGCCACTTGAGACTGCATGTGGTGTCCGTCACATCGTGCACGGTGAGGCGGGTGGGCTCGCTGGTGGGGGCTGTAGGGGAAAACACAAATCACTTTTACATGCACTCCAAATGATACAGAAGATTTGGATTTTAGATTAGTTTTTGATTTGTTAAATCATTTGGTCTAGATTTTTGGATTTGTTTCAGTACTCTTTTTTGGCTTCAAGCAAAATTATCTGTATTATTTAGTTGATTTAATAAGCTATTGCTATTTTCTGGCTTCACAAAAAAAATTTAACATTGAAACTACATACAGCTATACAGCGTTTTCAGTTCCGATACCAATTTGATACCATGACTTTAAGTATTTGCTGCTGATACCCGATCTTTTCTGATACCAAGTATTGAGACTGAAAACAGCATTTCCTTTAAAAAAACTAAAAAAGTCAAAACTGATCCAAATGTGCTATGAAGCTTTTATTTCTCTGAAGTAACCACAGAAGAACTAAATAAAATATAACTAAATATACATGTAAACATTAAGAGGCTTTCTGGGCCAATTATGAACAGTAAATATCTTAATTAATCAACTTATGTGTTCAACCAGGGTATTGGCTAAATCGATATTTGGAAGCTGATATCAAGCACATTTTTCAGTATTGGCGCAGATATCCGATACCAGCATCAGTTTGGTGCATCCCTAACTAAAACCTCCCTAACTAAAACCTCAGAATATATATTATATATATATATATATATATATATATATATATATATAGATTAATGTTCTAAGCTTTTCTCTACTGACAATAATCACGCCTTTGGGGTTGTGACTTTGACTAGTCAAGATTAATATTTTGATTTCAAGTCATTTTTACTCGTGCAGATATTCCTTTTTGTAGTGTAGAAATAGAAGTGCAATAGGAAGGAAATCTATTATTTTATGACAAAATGTTGCATGTAGTTTTAAAAGGTACTTACCGATGGGCATGAAGGGCTTAGAGGTGAGACTGGGTGGAGACAGGCCAATACTGTTCACAGCAAACACCCTCATCTCATACAGAATGCCCTCGATCATCCTCTTAGCCTCGTATGTGGTGGATTCATACACGTCAAAGTTGAGTTTAGTCCATCTGGAGGAGCCTTTCTTCTTCCTCTCCATTAGATAACCTGACCAGTTAAAACATTAGTGCTACATTAGAAAAAAAGACATGGAAATGACGGACAGAGATGAGCCGAAACCCATTACCTTTGATTGGCGCTCCTCCATCAAACTTCGGAACATCCCAAACAATTGAAGCAGTATCCTCTCCCACTCCGGTACATTTCACATTCTCAGGGGGATCAGGCACATCTAAAGTGGCAAATTAATGATGAGATATTTACCAAATGATTTAAAGGTGCTATATTATGCAAAAGTCATGTTATAATGTTCAAAACCTTACCTGGAGATGTGTTTTGTTTCATTCAGACATGTTTTAGTAATCCTTTATTATCAGTCTGTCTATCTATAAAAGCTTGTAATGCTCTGTTTCCACCTTGTGAAGTCACAAAATGGTGGTTTTGAAGTTAACAGCTACCTTTTACCTTTAGTTCAGTAGAGATTGGCAGTTCCAAGGTTAAAATCATCCAAATGATTCTAGTGAAGGTGTATAGGGTTTAAAAACACAGTCGAACATTTCCTGTATTACTATATGACATCACAATGTGCAACAGCATGTTTTCTGTTTGAGAGAAGAGCCTAAATATGCAGGGTTTGTGGGTTAAACATGTGTGAAAACACAACTCCAGATATGTTTGTGATAAGGAAACAACATTATAACATAGACCAGAAAATAGCATAATATGGACCCTTAAATAATGTAAGTTAGTGATACTTGCCAACAATCTTGATGAACAGGTTAGCCTTGTCCTCTCCCGCTGGGTTGGTGACACAGATGGTGTAGTTGCCTTCATCCTCTCTCTCCGCACCCTCTATGACGAAGCAGCTCACATCTTTTCTGGACTCTACACGCACACGGCCTTGTCCATCGGTGATTGCCTGAAAAAGAGACCATAAAGAATCTTTTGTGTTTTTATATATATGTATGCAGCTGAACCAAATGGTAGAATATACCAGTTAACAGAATAAACCGTTGTTCAGTTCATGAATTTGATTTTTGTTATTTGGTCGTTTTAATACTAGTAGGTTAGTATTTTGTTTTCTCCTTTACAAATTGTACATTCCTCTTCTCTGGGTCAAAAATGTCCCACTGCAGTATTCTGCTTGTGTAACTGTACTGGCAGTTTGACCAGAAGCATCGGTAGCAGTCACCTTCTCAACTTAGCTCATATTTCATCAGAGGGGCAATTTCTTTTGGTGAGGAGGCATTAACTCATACAGTGTAAAAAGAGAGGGTAGCGCACGAAAAATATTTTACTAAAAGCAGGAGCAGCGCCAAGAGGGTTTGCGGGTCACCAGCCCCTCCTGAGAGGCTCAAAGCACTTACCTGGCCAGCCAGAACCACACGCTATTCTGTCTCCTTGATTTCAGAGGGTGTGATTGACAGACGGCTTAACCAATTAGAGAGACACATGCTCCATATACATCAACAACAAACATGGCTGCTTACACATTAAAAAGGAGAAAAATCTACATAAAGGACTGAGAAACAGTGCAGATTTTTATAGAATCAACAATCGAAGTAATCAAACCTATTATTTATTTCAGGCAAAATAAGTTATATTTTTTGTTCTGAGGGACATGTGCTACAAATTAGCGGCTATGGTTGGATCATCTCAAATCTGGAGAGTTTTTTCATGTTCTGTGGTCTGGTCCAGCACTTTTTGGAGTCTAACAGAATGTAGAAGGGACTGGTTGGTCAGGCAACTAAAGCACCCCATTAGCAACCAGATTTGATGTCTTTTTAATACGACATCCAATCTCTTCTAGTTCAAGTTCAAATGGCAACCACATGTGTTCAAAATTAGGTATGTTCCACTGTTAAAGACCCCTTCCCAGAACAAATGTCTGGAGCCATCCTTGTTAATAACAATTTTACACTGCAGTATGAATTCCACAGTTTTTACCTGGTCCCCCTTTGACCACACCACAGTTGGTGCGGGTTCTCCTGTGATCTCCACGTCTAAACGCAGCTTATTTCCAGCCACAACGATGATGGTGTTCTGAGAGACCATGTTGCCAGTTGTGTCCAGATGGATCTTTGGTGGATCTTTAAATTCAAAGTTTACAAAGTTTTCCAAGTGGAGAAAACACACATTCATTTAGGAGTGAGATTTCTGTCCAAGTGTGCTTACCTTGTCTGGGCACATAGTCAATCTTGATTTCTGTTTAAGAGAGAGACAGCGTTATGCAGACAGCAGGTGGTACGTTCAGCACTTTTTTAATCACTCCGTCTTGCCTCACCTAGGAAGTTGAGTTTGGCAGAAAGTGACAGAGCGTATCCATCAGGAACAAATGTGTAGTCTCCAGCATCCTCTGGCTTCACATCATCAATAATGAGCCGGTGAAATCTGGAAACAGCAAAGGAGACGTTTCACACTAATCTGTTTACTCCGTTTGTCTTTGCTTTTATTCAGTTCTATAGTAGACTAGAGGAGCACAGTTTTAATGCAAGGGTAACAGTCACACAGGCAACCACAGGCTCTACACTGAGATTGTCAACATGTATCGTTCTTCTTTTCTTTTTTTTATCAGCAGCATATGGATTTTAATAATAAGCTTCATAAATACAGACAAGAAAATTTAAGCATTTATCATTCTCCACTGTAATGCTTTATCCAAATGCTTTTAGTCCCACAGAAATGGCTGTAGACGTTTTGATCATTGTTAAAATCCGGACCAAAACAGTTGCAAATGACTGAAAACTATTTATTCTGCACTCTTCCCTTTTAATGTTAAAGGTTGTATGGAGGATTTTTTTTTTGTTTCAAATTGTCAATGATAGCATTATAGAGGTGCAGTAGCCTTGTAATTATGATGACCAAAAAAAAGAGAATAAAAATTCATCAACTCTGGACGTGGTGGGGCCAGCTAAACATTTGCCAATAGATAACGACACTGCCTCGTTATCTGTTAGCTGACAGGCTGTCAATCAATCTCCCTACGTTTCTAGCGTAACTGACTTGCCTGCGCGCCGCCGGTACGTGGTTTACGTACGCCTGTCACGCAGTCCACAGACGCAAGCCGCACAGACGCTGTTTACTCCACCAACGCAACAGTTCTTAGCGGCTTTTTTTTACCTATATCTTCCTCGCAGTTAGCACAAAGTTTGTTGCAATGGCAGACAAGAATCCAGGAGCAGTTAGCTGCAAAAGAAAGAGTCCGCTTGCTGCTGCGTGTTGTAGCTAGTTCATTCGCACTGAATCTCCACGCAACCTTCTCTGCACCCCTTTCCTGCTCCTCTCCCCGCTGCCCGATCCGCTCTTCCCCCTGCTCCTCACTTCTCCGGGCACGGAATCTCCGCGCGCCGCTCCCCTCTCCTCTCCCTGCTCCCTGCTCCGCTCTTCTCCCTACTCCTCACTTCTCGTCCGCGCACGAAATGTCCGCACACCCGCTCCCCCCGCTCCTCACTTCTCCGTCTTGCCTAACCAACACTGTAGTTAGTTGTTTACAAGTCATGTGCAGCGCACCGGCTGTAAACAAACCTGTTTCTGGCGTAACGAGGAGGCGGGAGGAGGCGTTTCTATGTAGGGAGCTGTAGGGGGAGGGGGGGTGGTTTCACGCATGCGCAACATTTGAAAAAGGACAAACAGTCGCTGGATTTCTCGTTCCTTGGAAAATCCTCTATACAACCTTTAATTTTATGATGATTATGTTCTGATTTGTTTGTATTGTGATTTTAATGTCTTTCTTATTCTGTAAAGCACTTTGAATTACTTTGTGGACAAATTGTGCTGTACAATCTGAAATGATTGGATCACGATTCCATTAAATTAAAATCATAGCACAGCCCTAGTTTTAAGTCAGTTTAAGATTTACAATTGTCTGACTAAAATCAGAATGAATTGAGAACAAATAGACAAATGCTATAATGAAAAAATATAAAATATATTATTTCTGCAACCAAGTCTTATGTGCTTCCCGGGGCAGAATGCATACATCACGCACATCATATAAAACAATTGCGATGTACTATTTGGTGGGGAAAAAAACATGCTTTTGTTTACCTTCCAATGTGAGTCATTTTAATTCGATCACTTGGCAGAACTTCGACTCCATCTTTAAACCACTTCCCTGTAACCTTGTCATCAGACACCTCACACTTGAACATGGCTTGGTCTGTTGCCCTCACTGTCAGATCAGCAATGTCCTGCAACACCTCCAGCTGTTTTTCTGAGCACAGACACAGTAACCCACAAGAGAAGGCTCAGCACAAGATAAAAAGTCCATATGAAGTGAATGAGAGGGTGGTTCATAATAATAGCAGCTTGACACTGACTGCCATGAGTTGTTAGTTTGTTTATTAAAAAAAGCTGTGAGGCCCTTGGGCAAGAGGAAAAATTCAGCTGCATCTACAGCAGAGAATGTGAACTACATAGATTTAAACACAAAAGAAAAAATGTGATGTGGAAATGATAACTGGAATATGCTGGAATACAGTAATTATCAATGTATGCAAATTAATTACTTTAATTTGTAGTTTATGTATTAACAACAACACAACAACAACAACAAAAAAAAAAAAAAAAAAATATATATATATATATATATATATATAACTGGTGGTACCTTCTACTTCTAGCTCTCCTTTGGTATGACCCCCATTAGTCCAGGCATGGTACATGCCAATGTCATCCAGAGTAGCTTCTGGGATAATCAGTGTGTGCTTCTTGCCATCTTTCTTAAAGCGGAATCTGGAGTTTTTGTCTTTATGGAGCTCTATATCTTCAAAGAACCTACAGACAAAACACTGATTATTCTAAATGATAGCAGGAAGGTTAATCTCTAACAGTACATGACATGACTGCTGTACCTGCATGTATATTACTTCATTAGAAATAAATAATTTATTTGATTGGTTACTCTACATTACTACATTACTCTTACACTACTACTGATAGTGTTACTATTTTACTACTGACCACATGACGTGGGCGCCTTCTTCTGAAACCTCAATCTCAAACTCCACTCTTTCCCCGACCACAACGTGATAGTCATCCATCAGCTTGGTGATGGTCACTGGGGGCTCTGTGTGGGGTAAAGAGCAGAGTAAACACTCATTAGGAGACATTATGATGAATGACGCCACATTAGAAGCTGCTCATTAATTTAAGGCTGAGGCAGCACCTTTGACAAAGACTTCTGTGAAACACTTGTCCTCTCCCACCACACACTCATACGCAGCGTCATCGGCCAGAGTGGTCTTGTTGATGGTTAGAGTTCTGATGTTTCCATTGGCCTCCATCAGATACCTTTAGGACAGACAAGACAACAGTTTACAGATCAACATTGTGT